CTTATAGCAACAAAAATATATATGGTAAACATACTTCTAACTAAATAATTAACCTTAACATTGACAAAATCAAACTAATATCTTCCTCCAAAACATAGCCCATAGTTCACAAACATAATTTTCCTCCTAACCTTAACTCTCATTCATAATATTCCAATCCACCGTTCAAACGAAAATAAAAAAGTGCGTCATTACCTTGAACGAGGCCGAGGAGGGAGGGAGGCGGCCGGGGAATGGAAGGGAAGGGAGGGAGGGAGGTGGCAACGGAGGGCCAGTCGCCGACAGCACTTGGGGGTGGCGGGAGGGCGCGGCACGGCGGCCAGGCGAGTGGACGCGGCGGGCAGACAGAGCGAATGCGCGGCGGGCGTGGCAGGCAGGCGGGACTGGGCCGCGGGCCTTTTATCTGGCTCTGCCGCGCCACGGATCAGGGCGCGTCACTACCGCGCCAAGATCGGTGGTGCGGCAGCCCCTGATCGGTGGCGCGGCAGCCCCTGCCACGTCAGCGGTCAGCTGCCCCCGGTCTTTGCCACGTCATCCTCCAGCCGCGCCACCATGCATGGTGCGGCACAGGCTTTTCGCCGCGCCATGACAATAGGCACGACCAAAAGTGTTAGTTTTTTAAAAAAAATGTTAGATTTAAAATTAGTTTACAAAAAGTGTTAAAAATAAAAAAAATTCCCAAGATCAACAAGGTAATCTACGTAGAAATGCTCCTCCTTTCTTCTATGAAATTTTTTACAATCATTGGGGAAAAATTTGATGGCTGACATCGACCGAGAGCGGCCAATCCGACGGCAACAAAGGTAGGAGGCAACGGGAGGCAATGGGACGGAGGCAACGGGAGGCGATTGTTGTGTCTATGATCGGTGGGCCATATGCGCAAAAATCGCCTTCCATTGCCTCCGCAAATGTGGGGATTAGGACTGGGCGGTAATTCCATTCTCGTAGTTTTTTATAAAGGGTAAATGGTAACTCTATAAATGCAAAAATAATGTTTTGAGTAATATAGTTAGGATGGATAATGCAATTAGTATAGTTAGTTAAATGAATATGTCATTTACTTCTTCTAGGGTTCCACCGCCGCCATCCTGCGAGTCGCCGCCGCCGCCGATGGGAGGAGGCCGGGCGCAGGGCAACGGGCCACCCCTACCCCTCGTTCCTCCTCGCCGTCATCCGCTCGGGCGTCGCCCTCCTCCTCACCGTACTCCGCTCGGGCGCCGCCCTCGGCGTTCGTCCATGGTGGAGCAAGAGGAGGCAGGAGAGGATGGGGGCCATGAAACCTAGATCCCAAGCGTGCCATGAGGAGGAGGCGCCGGCGCCGACACCGACGCTAGTGCTGGCGTGCTGCACACGACCAGGGGCAGGTGCGACACCGCCGCGGTGCTATCTGCGATGGGCAGGATCGGCGTCACGCGCCTTGCGCTGGCGCCGCCGGCGCTGCTGGCCATCGTGCGCACCGCCGAGGAAGCGGACGCGGACGCTGCCGCCTACGTGGCCACGCTCTTGGTGGTGAACTGCGGCGGCGCGCCCCTCGCGGCTGACCTCATTGCGCGCTTCTCCCGCACTTTACCAGGCGTAGGCGTTACCCAGGTTGGTTTCTCGCTGCTGCAAGTTCATGTCTTTTGATTCTTAGTTCAGAGAATATCGTAACTACTAGAGTAGTTCATACAAATCACTTGCAATTGTGTGTTCATCATAGCATACAGTGCTTGTTTCCAATTGGCAAAAGGGGTATGGTCTTACAGGATTGATGGTTTTCGTATACTAGGTTAGAAACTATCTAGTATGCTCTCTTTAGTTAGTGAATTATTTATTGACAAATCTCATTTGCAGATATGAGCTTGAATTAAATGTTCTTGGACTTAGGTTTTTAGTTTGACACAGCCATCATGTGTAATTTTGAGTTTTGTGAAAAGAAGTATGAAGAGCTACTGATACAACTATAGTTCTGTCAGCCGGTTCAACTTTGACTTTCATAGTTTGTTGAATTTCTGGTGGCTTGGTTGGAGCATTTGTAACATTGGGCAGGATTGACATGTCATTCAACACATTAGTGCTTGCATTTCTGTTCTTCTAGGCAAGTTCAGATAAGCCTCGAAATATCATGCATGATGATGTGAAGGAAATGAACATGCATGAACAGGATAAACGGAAAAATCCAGCTTATTTCTCTAAGCTGGTTTCCTCTTTCATCGAAAGATGTGCAAAGCGAAGTAGCTCTGTAGAGGTACTCCACACATTACCACTGAATTCCCCACCCACCCCACCCCTACCCGTGCTGAAGTTTATTTTTATCTCTCTTACAAATTTTCCTTTTGCCGTCAGCTGTGTTTATTAATGTGTAACACTAGCCTCTTCCTTGTGCAAATGTTTCAGGAGACCAATATTGCCATGCTAACTGAAGATCAAACCAACCAATTGCTGTCTTCATTCTGGATTCAGGCCAATTAAACAGATAATACTCCTTTTAATTATGAGGCTATTGGCCATTCATACAGCCTAACAGTTCTTTCTTCCCGCCTTAAGGTATGAATTTGTTTGGAAGTAAAATATCCTTTTGACGTTTTTTTGATGAGACAACAACAAATTTCATAGAAGCACAAAGTTGTCAGTCTTCTCTCTTCATGTTTTTGGGCAACAACTTTATTTTATAAGAGATTCAGTAGACTTGTCCGTGATCCCTTTTTCCAACTGCAATAAGGCATCCTTGCCTTTGTTTTAATAATCCTCATAATTATGACTAAATTATTTTCTAATGTTCTTGATGCCACAGAATTCAAGCAACGGCAATATCATTCAGTTTTTCCAGTTGCCATTGTCCCTTCGAAGTGTTGCTTTAACCCCGAGTGGTATGATCTGCATTGTGAAATTTTATGGTTTTCCTGTCTCTACTTATTTATCTCTCATGCAAAGTCACATGTTTTCGTTTATGAAATTTGTTCAGAAGTTCTGCCGGCTTCTTGCCAACGGTCTATTTTTACATTAGCAATGAGTATGCTGGCTTTTGCTGGAAAAGTTTGTCAGATCACTGAACTGTCAGACTTGCTAAGGTGTTTTTCATCTTCCAAAGTAAGTCTAGCGCGGAGAATATTAAGATATTATGTCCTTTTCACTTTTCACACAAAATACTTCATGCTGTATCTCCTTTATGGTTTTTTCATGTTCCTGGCTATCTTATACCAGCTTCTGCTTCTGTACTATTTAGCAAATGTAAATGCATTGGTTTTTCATGTATGATTAGTGAAAATGTATTATTAAATGCTATGCAGATTGACCCTTACCTAAGAATAGGTGAAGACTTGCAACTCTATGTAAGGTTGCAATCGGATCTAGGCAGCTATGGTTCTGAAAGTGATCAGGAGGTTGCCAAATCCATGCTTTCTGACTGCAGGACAAAAGTAGGGATTAACGATCAGCGAGTGCTTGATGTTATTGCCTCTGCACTTTCTAATTTCATTGAGGTTAGTCCTTTGCATGGTCAGTGTGATTTTGCCATATGTTTTTTTGTTGGCATTGCATGCTGGCGTCACATGCTGTTGTGAAGCAAATGTACTATCCCCTCCCCCCTTTCCAATTGTGATTTCCCTTGTTTTTCTAATCGAAACTGCACTAACAGATGGGCAAGGATGTACTAACAAAGGAGCTCACTGAGATGTTCACACCTGAAGAGATGCCTCTGTTTGGAAAGTGATGAAGCAGAAGATGTGAAGTAGTTGATCTACGCTTTTCACGACTCAGAGATATGACTACAAAGATAGCGAACGTTAGAGCTCCAAGATGCTTATGTTATCCTTTAATTAGCAACGACTTTTGAACTTGTGTTATCTCTATGTATACTATGTTAGGTTATCCTTGAATTGAGGTCAGGAATCAAAATGCTTATGTAAAAGTCATTTTTGTTGCTAATTTCTATTTGGGAAACTAAGGATGATGACCTGGCATTGCTGTGAACAACTCATAAGGCGCTCCTTGAGGAGGACGTCACCGCCTAATCCGCGCTCCAGGATTCGCTCAGGAAGGTAACAAGTCGAGCGAGATAGCCTCAGCTGGCAGTGCCAGCCATAACGTCGCCGGAGAAGCACTTTGCAGAGGTAAACTTGGGATAGAAAGATTGTCAACCTTGTTGATGGGCTTTGAATTGCCAGTGTTCAACCTGTACTTTGTTTGTCAGGCTATTAGATACTCCATCTTAGGATTTGGAACGGATGAGGACACACTTACCAGAACGATCATCTCAGGGTCCGAGATCGGCATGAACAAGATCAAAGAGGAATACAAGGTCAGGTGCAAGACCACGGTCACCAGCGACATTGTTGGTGACACCTCCGGGTATTACAAGGACTTCCTGCTAACCTTGATAGGGAGTGAAGATTAAAATTAAAACAACCTGCTTTTGTTGGGAAAGATGTGTAGAATGTGTATCCGCAACCACCCAAAAAAAAGAACTTTCATCAGAGAACATGTACAAAGACCAAATATTCTGATGCATTCATGCATATGCATCCATTCTTTACAAGATTTTAAAAGGTCCATATCACGTTCAGATAAACCAAACCATTCTCTCCTTTGTGTTTATTTGATAGTTCTGAAAAGCTCCTTTTCTGCTTAAAAAGTCATTAAGCAGAACGCTTTGAGGCCACACAAAAAATTCATAGAAAGTAAAGTGCAGCAATTTCATATTGGCGATGAGGAATGAACTCATCTAGGAAACTAGGACCCAGGATCCGAGTATTATTATGCACTTTGTTATTCTACTATACTCACAGCATCTTCTGCAGCAACACAAGGTACAACAATCAAAATGTTCCTGAGCCTCATCCTCTACTGTTAAGAATACATTTATCTCTCGTTTGGACGCAATACAAGGTTGGTCTTACGCGCAAAGTACAGGAAAAAAGACAAGTGAGCACCCCTTCACACTGAGCACAAAAGTGATGATCATCTGTCACCAAGCTTTTGCCCGTCTTGATTTCTTATTCACTTCAAGAGAGAAGATATCCTCATCTCCTCCTGGATGACGAAGAAGCCGCAGCAATTATACCACCAACAACAAGACCCACAACTCCAAAGGCACCGAAAATACTGATTGCTTTCTGCATAGCATGGTCTCCATCGGTGATCACAGAAATCGGATGCTTCTGAATCATGGCATCACAGAATGACCTAATCAGCCACACATACGACTCAGTATCCTCGTGAGAAAGAATTCCACAGGCAAAAAGAACCGTGCTTTTATGGTGATTCACCCCAACAAAAGGAACAAGGGTCAGGTTGTATCGATTCGTTTTGTACGTGCCATCAAACACGACGACATCACCAAACGCTCTATAATCCATCTGACTTTGAAAGTCACACCAGAGCAGTCCCGTCAGGTGCCCTCTCCCATCAGTCTTGTACTGGAAAAAGAAATCAGGATCTCTACGTTTCGATTCCGTCATGTAACTGATGATTGTTCGAGCATCACCACCGGAAAGTGTCTCCGCCTTGTTGCGATGGTAGAAATTGTAAAGGTCCCTTGATGTAAATCCAACCTTATCATACCCACCATACCGCCTAACCATAATATCCATTATCTGGTGTTTGTGGATCCCAGAAATCTGCAGCTGCACAATCTCTGCTTTCTGATCATCGTTGATTCTTCTATGTGAACGCAGAAAGCAAGCAAGGTCTGGTTCCGTCATCGGATGGTTGTGCTCGTCGATGAAATCCTTCACATACCACTACTCTGTGTTCGGATCCTATGCAATCACAAGTTGAGCACGGCATCCACAACGAGTGATATTCTGCGGTCTCCGCTTCTTGATCTCCCTCCTCACCTCCTTCTCTGCGCGGAAACCTTCACAGCTGCAAACAAACTTCCGAAGGGTCCTCTCATTGTGGCCGTTGTCCCACTCGCAGTATTCCTTTCTCACACTAAATCCTTTCTCATAAGCGTAGTTGTTATAAAACTCAAATCCGTCGTCCTCACTGCCAAACATCTTCATAACAATTTCACTGTACTCCATCAAAGAATCATCATCTGACATTTCCTCCTGAAAAATGAAGCTTTCATTATGATGCACAGGTTTTCATTATTGAAATTCACTTTGCACTTGAAGTTTCAAATTTCAGCAGCCTGCCATGTTCTAAAATAGCAGCCTATGTTTATATGCATTTAGAAACTTGGAACCAGCTAAGGTGTAACAGAAACAAGCTGCACCAAGGTGTAACAGAAACCAGCCAAGGTGCATGAGCAGTGACCTATTATATCCAAGAATAATACAAGACAAACCCGACAAGAGGGAAAGATAATGACATAACTAAAACATCAATAAGCTTCACTAACACCAAGTGAATCCACAACTGGAGGAAAAGCAATAGCTATGCTAATTAATTGAACACAAATAGATGAAATAACTCTACCAATTTGTCAAGGATGCAGAACTTATATCACCAGCAGTACAGTTAACAAGTCTGTAGTAGTAGACATATAAACAATAAACTGCTAGTCCTCTAATAAAGTGAGAAACCATGTTAATACTTAGCACAAGTCTCAAGTGTAAATGATTGTGTTGTGTGTTAACTCATTCTTGAAGTGTCCCTTGTCATAACAATTTGTGACATATATACCTAGCCTTGCATACCAAGAGAATAGAAGCAGTGTTGATAGTAACTATTGAAGTCATGAAAAAGAAAGCAAAGAAAGAAGTAGCTAGGCTGAACAATTAATTAAGTAGGCAGGTGCACTGTATTACTGAACAAAGAATGCTCTAGCAGTACCAATTTTGAAGTAAATCATGAAAACTGCTAGAGCATTCTGTGCCTTCCAAACAAGACTGGAAACTGCTGAGTTTTAATCTCCCAAATGTTGGCTTGATAAAATTGAATTCAGATTCAGGTAAAGATCTTCATTCACCGCAATTTCAGTTCCATAAATACATGAAAGTATATTCACTCCCTGCAGATGCACTCTCCAAACCATGAAGTGATTTCTCATGACATCTGTCAAGTGCATTTATATAAAGAACACACTACCAAGTACCAAAAGCGCAGGAAAGAGACAAACACATTTTTAAGTAAGTATTAGATAATAAACGACACATAATTTTTACTTGTCAAATCTGAGAGCTTTCTAGGAACACTCAACAAATGATAAAGTAATAAGAACCTGAAGGATGCTGAGCTACTGCCAAAGAAGACTACTCACTTAAAAGGCAAGCAAAAAAAACAAAAGGGAAACTAGCAGATTACTCTCTAAACAAAGGCAAAGTGACAACATGTATCACTACTTACAAGAGAGTACATTAAGCAGTAATAGCACAAAGGGCGCCCTCTTAACAATCTACCACTATAGGTCTAACGCATCAAAATCGGTGAATGGATATTGACATGCAGAGAGATCCTCCACTTCTGAATCCAAACCTCAGTTCACAAACCAGGACCACTCATCTCATCTACAACGCTAGACATGGATTCATCAGAAACAGAAAACTATACATAGTAGTCTAATCTACATAATGATTTATCAGAAACAGAAAACTATACATAGTAGTCTAATCTATGTAATGAGCACAAATCAGCAGGCAGACATCGAAAATTGCAAGAACAATATATACCACACTAAAAAATGATAATTGACGATTACTGTACCATCGACCGCGGTGGAGAAACCAGAAACGCTCATAGTAGCACATAAAGAAAACAGAGCATCACGGAACGGAACCTTAAAATATATTCTGAACACCAGAAACAGAGTAATGTAATCATGTGATCGGATTACAGGGGAGTTGGTACCTCGAGGCTGACCTCGGACTGGAGGGCGGCGAGGGCGCGTGGGAATCCGGCGGACTCGACGAAGGCGGGACGGAGGCGACCACCGCGGCCCTCGCGCTGGGGGTGGGAGCAGCGGCGCGGCTGGGCCGCCGTTGCGACGAGGCTCCGGCGGCGGCTAGAGGGAGGGAGAGAGCAGGGCAGCAGTCGCTAGGGTAAGAGCAGGGCAGTGCGGGCGATGGCAGGCCGGCGCGGCGCCGTGCGAGGGCGGCGGCGGCGGTGGCGGCTTTGGTGAACGCGACAGCGCGTGCAGGCTCGGGGCGTCGGGCGATGCCGAGTGCGGGGGCGAGTCGGGACGACGGCGTCGGGCGCGGATCGGGGAGGGGGCGCGGCGAGTAGTGATAGGCACGTGAAATGACCAACATACCCTTTATGATGATAATTAATATTTTATGGAGGCAATGGGAGGCAGCGCTAGGCAATTTCAAGTACTGTAAAATAGCTCTTCTTCTATAGGTAACTTTTCCATTAATAAATACCGCCATATATATTGTTGATTATTGCATAGATCCAATTATTCTCACATCTATTGATCATATATAGCAAAAGCTCCATCAGAGAACATCACGGCAACCCACGAAGTCATATAAATCAAATCAAATGACCAGGAAGGAAATTAACACATACTAAATGTTATCATCACCTTTTCAAGTGTGAAATAAATACACAAATAGTTTGAATGATGCAACGGAGATATGTGAGTATATGGAGTGATCTCATTAGTTAATATACATTAGATGGGAATGATTCTATTAATTAAAAACCTCATGATTAACCCGTGCGGGAGCACGGGTTGGTGGACTAGTCTGCTGAATTGCTTGTGCACTTTTTCCTTGTTCTTTTTCTGGACTGGAGGCACCATGTTTGTTCTTGCCGATCGAGCCGACGTATGTATACGTGTTAAACATTGGAAGCAAGACGTACAGAATATTAATCCTCGATCACGGCTGAATAGAAGCAGCATCGTCCTAGCTAGCTAGCCTTTATCGTAGTATGTACTTGATAAGCTAGAGTGACTAATAATCTGTGCGTGCTCTATCTACTTGATCGATCTACATATCGTGTGCTGTATATTATTTGTTACGTGTAAACCGTACCGCTTAAAGAAATTTGCCATACGTACCGTGCCATGCATCTTCATCTAATTCGAACGATCCTACGTGTATTTTATTTGGTGATGATACGTACATTCGAACGAAGCGAAGCCGTGCGGGCATCCTCAGCTGGTAGTATGTATATAGAGATTATGTGTAGAAACTAGCTAGAAACCTGATTACTACTGCACGACGATGGTAGGTGTACTATCAGGATGCACTACATATACTGCACGACGATGCCTCATTGCATTGCTTCACAGTGGGTCATTTGGGATCCCTGACGTTGGTGCTCCATGGATAGAGGTGAAACTAAGCTGCAAGTAATTAAAGGATCGCAGGTAAATGCTGATCGAGAAGGTTGCCAAAAAAAAATAGAGAGAGAGAGAGAGAGAGATGATGCTCGGTACGAGAAAGAAAAGCGGAGCATAAGGTACCTTCGTATTTGCTGGGCGTAAACATCAGCAATCCTAGGATTAAGGATACAGAACCATAACAATTTAGAAAAGTATCCAGGCGCTAATTGAGATAAACATCATTGCTTAAGCACTAACCAAACTGGCACGCTGAAACCATGCATTTTACCAACACAGTTCTATTCCCCAAAGACAGCCGGCATCAGACAACCAATAATTTACTGCTATCACTGCTATATATAAGCACTGACCAAACTGGTTTTAGGCCGTCTCCAATGGTTCCCAAATAGCTAGTCTACGAAGAATTCTATTGGCTATCAAGGAGAGAGATTAAATAGCTAGCGACTCTCAAATAGCTAGTCTAGCACGATTTTCTAAAAACAACTCTCTCACAGCTCACATAACCCTGTATTAAAGTGTTTATTTTTTATTATTTCTAAGTCTCATCTAGCTAGCTATTTACAAATTGCCATTGAGGACGCACTCATGGAACAGTGAGAGTCTTCCTCAATACGATGGCAGCACCCGTCAGGAAAGACAATAAGTGGAAGGCAACACAAAAAAAAAACTAATTAACTCAATGGGTGCTGCCTAAACCATCTTTCCTTTTTTGATGATCTCACTGCAGTTAAGGTATGCAGACTAAAATGCAGATGAAACTGAGCATGATGATTAACTGAATGGGTAGCCTGCATAAACTCTCTCTCTTTTTTGATGATCTATCTCGCTGCAGCGCTAAGGGACACAAACTAAAATGTAGATAAAAAAACTATTGGACGGAGCCTGATGGCATGGGAGGGAGGACGCTGCAGCATATAGCAGCTCGGTGTGGTTCTGTCAATTGCAGCTGGAATCAAATAGATCGTCATGCTTGTGTGGAAGCAGCAAAAACATTTGGTTGTAAAAAAGTTAGAAAAATATCACAATGTACTGGCACACACAGAATGATGAAGGAGGAGCCTTGCCCAAATCGTCATGCGCATCTTATCAGCGCGCCTTTGTCCCTGTCGTCACATTAAAAACTTTAACACGTCCATCAGCCGTCCAGGCGAGCTAGCTGAGGACGACGAGTGCCGGCGGAGTCCAAATTTAGTTTAACCGACGTACGTCTCGTCGCATGCATGGGTCTATAAATAACACACAGAGGAACCGAGCACGCCGGGGACGAGGACGGGAGGTAGAGGGAGAGGAGAGGATGGCGGCGGCGGAGCCAGCAGCGATTCAGATGCAACACACTCCCACTTTAGTTGCACGGTAGACATTGTGATTATCATTGCTGCCGGATTCACCGCTGTCGCCTTCGCAGCAGTTGCCTTGGTGTGCGTTTGCTGACGCCGCCGCGTCATCGTCCCCAGTTGACAACTCCCATCAGCAGTACTCTATCTAGTTAAATAAATAATAAAGTTAAATATAGTCGGCGACAACATCAGTACGGCTAAAGGCGGACCCAGTACACAAGGAGTGGGGCACGTGCCCCCACTCAAATTCTGGGTGTGATACATAAATTTTCTAGAAATATTTAAGGATGGTAGAGTGATACATAATTTATGTGACACAAAATTGGTGTTAATAGGCTCGTATTAAGAAAATACTTGCATATGACTATACTTTTGGATCACATATCATGTAAATGAAATATTAATAGACCAATCATATCTATTTGTCCTAACTAAATAAAATACGGTCAGAAAAGAAAAATGGATGCAG